GAAAGGCTGGGTTCCACCATCATCATAATAACATAACAAATGTTACCGTCATACCGTGGTATATACAGGTGATAACAAAAGGGAAGATAATCAGAGCAGGAGTAGCTCACCTGAGTACGCTGCGTCTGGGCAGCTGACCCTTGTAGTACAACGAATGGCTTGAATCGTAGCGGGAAGGGTGGTGGTTCTCCGTGCCACCCCACTCCAGGTTGTCCCACCATTCCTTCTCGCAGTCCACCTTGGGGGGCTTGGTGTTGTCTCCAACAGTCGGCAGACGTCTAAGGCTCCAGCATCCCGTGATCTTGATGGTCTCGAGGTTAGGGGAATACATCCGACGCCCACAAATGCTCTGCAGCTTGGGGAGCTCACACAGGTGGATGCGCCTCAGCTTGGGAAATTCTATAATATTATCCTGCTCTTGAAGCTCAGGGCCCAATGGGAACACCTCCCTGAGATCACCACAGTGCACTATCTCAAGGGTCTCCAGTGCACCCAAGGTGACCGAACGTGTGGCCAAGACGAGCACATGTATGAGCCTCGGGCAGTGGTCCAGGTGCAAGAATACCATACTTTTAAAGTAATCGGAGTGTTTAACATACGTTGCTGCAGTCGTCCAGTCCCAGTCCCAGATATAGCGTGCTGTCAGGAGTTGGGATGCCCAGAATGTCTTCAGACTCTGGAAGCCCGTGGAAGCATTATTAGAGAACATACCTTGGCGCACCATGGGAATAGTGAAGACCGCATGTAACTTGGGGCACCACTCAACCCGGCACCATATGAGCCTACTCCATCCCGATCTTTGGGGAGGTGCAAGGACACTGGTGATGGAAGGGTTATCATACACATGCAACGATGAAGCCCCGTCGCATATAAAATCAGGCAATAATAAGGCACTGGTATTCGCATCCTCCAAAAGTGTGTTCCCCTGCCCGTGCATGATCACTTTTATGATACATGATACTTGGAGAAACCTCAGCCCGTACATTACTGGTGGTAGGGGTATCTTAGGGCAGTCCCATACCGTCACTGCTGCAGCTGGGCCAGCCTTCAGGATATTTCTGTACATTGAGTGCACCGTAGTACGTGAATACGGTTGGTCACTGCTTGCTTCTAGGACCTTGCTACCAACAAGAGTGGCTTCATGGCAGATATCAATATGACAGCCTGTTAAGCATTTATATCTGGCGGGATAAAGTGACCTAAGGAGCCTTGCATCTGTAAGCGAAATCTGCCACCCCTTAAACTTCTCTTCTTTCTGCTGCTCAAGGGATTGATCGGCATGTGGATGTGCCTTTGGCGCTTCCCTTCCATCACCTAGTGCTGATGTAGAGGTGTTGTCAATACGGAGCACACCAGACCATTTTTGGCTTTCTTCGTGTTGTGGCCACAATATTGCACGGAGCTTCTCGCAGCCTATCAAGATGATCCGCTTGGGGAGTGAGGTGGCATCCACTCCTCCAAGGTCGAGGGTTTTCACACTTGTGCCCGAGATGTCCAGCTCCTTAAAGCTCGAGAAATATCCTTTCAAGAACAGGTTCTTCAATTCTTTGCAGCCCCTAAAAGAGATAATTTGTAAGACATTACTTCCATCAATAATGACTGTCTCAAGGCTACGGTTGCTTTCAGCCCCATATAAACTTTTCATGCCCCGTGTGATGGTATTTCCAGAGAAATCAAGAAGCTCCATTAATTCCATCTCTGACAACACATCATTGTTAAAGTGGCACGTGGACTTTGTTACACGGAGCTTGCGAATGTTGCGCAACCGTCCCCGTAAATGGCTCATGTCCCAATTATTGGCTCCCATCACATTTAGCTCCCTGAGCTGGGTCATGAGATCCATCACCCGTGCGGACAAGATTTGATCCCAATCCGTGTAGCGCAGGTCAAGCACCCACAAGCTTTGGAAGCATTCCCACAACATCATGGCGCTGCTTTCCAACCCCTTCTCCTTGTCTGAATCTGGGTGGTAATGATGTGCATTGCTTGTTCTTGTTTGGAGGTCTTGGCAGTGCAGAAGTGACAGGAATCTTAGGCTATGGCAACAGAGGAATGGAGGCGATGAGAAGCTAAAGGTACACCTCGAGAGCTTGAGCACCCCGAGAAGGTGTGAGTGCTGAAACATGTCGTCAGGCATAACTCCAGAGGAGCTCAGCTCAAATCCACACGTTGATGTGGAAATCCAGTACTGCATATGCTCGGTAGACCTTGACAAGTGAGAGGAAGGCATTATTGTTGACTCGCCAGTATTATGCCGGTTGTCAATGTCCAACAGACGCACCTCATGCTGCAGAACATCACCAACTTGCCATGCTTTGTCAATGTCTGTCAGCGCAATGATCCCGTCGCATACCCAATAGTTACTGGTGTGGGCAGGCCAGTCGTAGTCAACAATAGGAGAGCCGATGCAGCATTGTTTCAGCACATACAAGGCACACTCAACAACAATTGCTGGATCAATAATACCGTGGCCATTCTTTTTGCAGCCGCAGGAAACTTGTGCAGCCTCATGGTGCACTAGATAAGACCAAAGCTCCTGCGGATCTTGCCGATCTCTTGAAGCTGAAAGAACAACATCAGTTGACGTGCTCTTCTTCACACTGTCTACCAACTTGGGGTCAAGACGAAAGCTCCCTTGGAAAGTCCACAACATCTTGCTATTGGCATATCCATATATATATAGACCAAATTTAAATATATCAATCTCTTCATTGCTTCCATTGTGCAGAATCACCAAGAATCTGCGATTCTGTGTGGCATGATAGATCTCTCTGACAACTTGTGCTATCTCATTGCGGGAGCCCTTGTCTAACCCATCAAAATCATCGTCCTCGTCCTGTTTGTCAAACATCTCCATCACCCAACTAGGAAGCTTCAGCTGCTTTGCAATTTCCCTCTGCATTGCTCTTCTACTCTCCCACTTTGAACAGTCGATGTGGATGATTTTCTCAAACTCCAGCCCTGTGGGCCTCGTCGACGGTTCATTTGATATGGCAAGGCGTTCGGCTACAGCTTGCAAGACAGCAGATGCCCCAAGACCATCCCAGCCATCAAAGTAGATGGCATTCTCTCTGCTGCTTGCAGTTTCTGCCCCAAGTTCAACGAGAATCCTTTTGACGGCTACATCAATGGTGTCCGCCTTGATATCCTGCGTGTGTGCACGGCGGTGAGGTGAGAATCAGTCAAAACTTCAAACTAGGAGGACTCCATACTACTAATTCATAAACCACACAACAAGATGACCCGTGGTATTAGAGTATTGGCAGTATTCTCATGCACAACTAACTGTTTTTTAACTCTACTAACTGAGCATGCATGCATCCATGAACCAAATTAATTAACGGAACTACTGCACGTACGGCACGACGGAGGATTATTGAACAGTGTTGGTCCAGCTTTGTTCTACGCACCGACGGTTTGATTGCTGTATCGTACGAAAATCGTACATAAATTGTCATGTGTATACCATCGTTCAAGAATTAATTAATTAATGACCGTCCTGACATAAACAAAATTTGACCCAAAGATCTACCACAGTTGAAATATATTGCAAACTATGCTTGAAAGGATATAATATGAAGAATGGAATGAAAGGTGATTTTTGTAAGTGCAAAAGTACCTCTGTACGCATAATGAATCGTAATCTCTAGCCTCTAGATTAAGTCATTTTGGGCTTAAAATTGATCAGTCAGCTCTTCAGCAATCTCCATATTAATTTGTCGATCAGTTCCTGACTTCCTGTCTACATTGATATATAAGTAGAAGCTAGCTCACATAACTTTAAAGAATCAGACAAGCAGATTTAGTACAGGAGTAGGGTGAGCTAGTCAAATACCTTGGATAAGTTGAATAAATGGCACTATGTAGAGAATCTGTAGCTCGATAAATGCCAAGTAGATCGCTCAGGTGTCACCACTAGCTGGCCGGATTGGAGAGGAAAAACAAAAGCGGAAATGCCTTGGACACAATTGCCTAGAAATGCCTTGGACAGAATAGAAGCAAGCAGTAAGATGCTTTACCTTTTGCTTTCCATTTTATTCCCATTCCTTGGGGGGATTACCTTTTACTTTAGCTAAAGGCAGAAATCAGTTCTTTGCTTTATAGCTGGCTAGCTGCAGGATTTAAAGATAAAGATAGAGGATTGTGGTCAGGGACTGATTCTGATGCTCGGATGCTGTCTGTTCACTATCAGATCTTCCTGCTAACTAAACAATGTTTGCGTCTTTTAAGTAAGCCAAATCAACTCCCATGTAGAGCATTTCAATTTGGGTTTTAACTTGCGTTACAATTGTAGTAATGTTGGTTGGTGTATGGGAAATACCTACTAAGTGTGTCATGTATTATGGCCCATATCTCTAATTAAGGACAGTATAACCGCACCTAATCCCTGTCCTCACAGCGATTTAGGTTTTCGGCCGTCCGTTTTATTGATCTGAGAGTTCGTGGCCGTCAGATTTCGTGTGTAAGGTGATCTGTTCCACAATCTGATTAAACTGGCCCAGCTGTCCTGTGGGCTGCTGCTCCACGGGCCGAAACGGACACCTCTGGTAAACTGGGCCTTCTCAGCCCATTTGTCTAACCGACAGTCCAGAAAACTGTTCGCTCGTCAACCAGACCAGGCATCACCGATACAGAGGAGGGTGCGTGCTCGGTCGCTGCGAGAGGAAGGAGAAGGGGATCAGGTTCTGCGCGAGAGGTGAGAGGCCGATGCGGACGGTTTCTGCGAGAGAAAGAGGAAGGGATGGATGGATCGGTCATGGCGAGGGCGCACCCTATCTGTCTACTTTATTGCATGGAGAGATGTGAAACTCACGGAGCCTACTCTTTGGAGGTAATGCGAGGTTGATTTGCTTTCACGTGCTGCTAGGAACGTTATGCATATTACCTGTGGCAAAAATTAGAAACCCCTAGTACTTTCAGAGTAATCAGTTGTACTCCCTCCGTTGCTAAATATAAGCCTTTTTGGAGACTCTAATATGGACAGCATACGGAGGAAAATAAGTGAATCTACACTTTAAACTACGTCTATATACATCCGTTTGTAGTTCATATTGAAATTTCTAAAAAGGCAATTGATAGCAACACGCGATAGACAATTGATAGCAACATGCAAGTCATTAGGTATTTGATACACTAATCCCAGAATCACACTTTGCTCTACAATCTACATAGGCTCAGTTCAGTCCGGCGGCAGGCTGGATCAAGAATAATTATTACCGGGGAGATCTCGACCGGCTTACTTGGTCTGCGCAGAGTAGATGGTGGAGCGTCGGCTGGCGCAACTACTTGGCCGCCATTTTCTGGTACAGCTCATGGGAGCAGCGCCGCCGCCGGAGGAGATGCAGGTGGGGCGGCGGCCTGAGTATCCGCCGACGACGGCCAAGGATCTCTGTCGACTTCTCGAGGGTCACACGGTCCAGCTTTTTTTTTTTGAGGGGCAAAAGGGATTTTATTCATTCATCACATTGTGCGGAATACAAACTATATTGGGTGTAATCCCTAGCCACACGTGGCGCCCGACTGCCAAGGAAGTAGCAGCCTTAACCAAAGCATAAGCCTCATAGTTTGACTCACGAAATTCGAAAGAAAAATTGACAAACTCAAGATCATTCACCCGATCCTTTATCTCATGCAAGATCGGACCATACACAGGCGCTCCACCCTTGTTGATGTTGTTCACAACCTCCAAGCAGTCCGATGCCACCTGAACTCGCCGCAAATTCAGATCTTTGGCTAACGATAGAGCTTCATTGCACGCTTGTGCTTCCAAACTTGGTGGATCCACTAGGCCATCAAAAACAACTGCAGAAGCTCCCAAAAAGACCCCCGCTTCATCTCTACATATAACAGCCGCTGCTCCTCGTGCTCCATTCGTCGAGACACCACCATCTACATTCATCTTTGCGTTACCAGTGGCCGGTTTTAGCCATGTGCTAGACCTCTTGGTGCGCGTTGTGGTCGTTGCTTCGTTCCGACCACGGGCAGAGGCTATATTCAGGTCCTCAAGATATCGGTTTATGAAGCTCATAGTGCTCAAAGGACTCTGAAATTCCCCATCATGAATGGCCCGTCTTCGTGCCCACCAAATGGCCCACATGGTTACCAATACCCGAGCTAATTCCTGTTGATTCAGGGCCTCAAACAGCCGGAAAAGCCATAGACGCGCGTCTTGTATCCGGGTTGATATCACATGCTCCAAGGTATCCTCATCTACCAATGCCCAAACACACCTCGCCATCCGACACTCAAAAAGTGAATGCCTCCATGTATCTTCAGCTCAATTACAAATTGAGCACATGTTTGTATCCGCCATCTTCCTTTCATGCCTCGTCGTTCCAGTCGGTAGCGATGTATGTGCCAACCGCCATATAAACACACGCACCTTGGCTGGAACCTTCACCTTCCACAAGTACGACCATGATTTCTTGTCTGCCTCTGGATTGGAATGACCTGTTCGCTGCTCCAGCCACGCCTCCCGCTGCTCCCGGATGCCGGTAATCATCCTGTATGCCGACCGGACGGAAAACACCCCTCGTTTATCATAATGCCAGGACCAGTAATCGTTCTGTGCACGAGAGCTTAGTGGGATGTTTTTAGTGGCATCAACATCCGGGCCGACAAAATGATCATACAGCTTCTGAATATTCCATGTCTTCGATGCACTATCGATCAATTCAGACACCAACTGTGGCGGGTTTTGTGATATGGCGCAAAGTGGCCGAAGCTTAAAGTCCCTTGGAAGCCAATTATCATGCCAGATCCACGTCTCCTGCCCCGTGCCAATCCGCTTTATCAAGCCCAAATTTAGCACATCTCTTCCTTCCAGTAAAGATCTCCAAACTTGCGACGGGTTGGAGCTCACGCTTGCTGTTAATATGCCACTATCTGGATGATACCTTGCTTTGATAATTCGAGCACTTAGAGAGTTTGGCTCCTGCATTAATCTCCAGACTTGCCTTGCGAGAAGTGCCAAGTTAAAGAGTTCCATATCCCGAAAACCCATGCCGCCCATATGCTTAGGCGTTGACATCGTCCTCCACGATACCCAAGCCGTCTTCCTCTCCCCCCTTTTACTTCCCCACCAAAATTTCCTCAAAAGACCGTTGATGTGTTCACAAAGTCCACGGGGTAGTTTAAAGCATGACATAGAATAAGTCGGAATGGCTTGGGCTACCGATTTGATCAAAACCTCTTTACCTCCGGCGGACAGGCATTTCTCCATCCACCCCTGGACATGCTTCCACACCCTATCTTTAAGGTATTTGAAACACCCCTCTTTTGATCTTCCAACGTTCGAAGGCAAGCCAAGGTACTTTTCTGACAAACACTCATTATGAACATTGAGAACATTCTTTACCTCCCCCCGGGTATTCTCCGACACCCCTTTACTGAAAAAGATTGATGATTTATCCGTGTTGATTCTTTGGCCCGATGCATTGCAATATTTGTGCAGCAACTCACTAACCCGGTTTGCTGCCGTGCTATTTGCCTCAAAAAACAGAAGACTGTCGTCAGCGAACAGTAGATGATTCACTTCCGGGCCTGACTGAGCAACTTTGATGCCTCTGACTCCCTCCATCCCTTTAAGCAAGCACGATAATCCCTCGGCCGCCAACAGGAAAAGATAAGGGCTAATCGGGTCTCCTTGTCTGACACCACGGGAAGGCCTGAAAGAATCTAAAACTCCACCATTAAACAGTACTGAAAACGATACCGATGTGACGCACCTCATTACTGTTTCCGTGAAGCGAGGGCTTATGCCTAGTTTGAGCATCACAGCCCTAAGATATGACCACTCCAACCGATCATACGCTTTTTTTCATCATGTCCAGTTTCAATGCACAGAATCTGTTTCCCTTAACTCTCTTTGTTTTCATATAGTGTAAACACTCATAGGCAGTTATAAAGTTATCGGTGATGAGCCGTCCTGGAACGAACGCCGATTGCTCCTCGGAGATGACCTCAGGAAGAATGAGTTTCAGCCTGTTTGCTAAGACCTTTGAAGCGATCTTGAAGATCACATTACAAAGACTTATCGGCCGGAACTGTCCTAAAAGTTTTGGACTTGCTATCTTGGGAATCATCACAATGAATGTACTGTTGATTTCTTTCGGTGAGTCCTCTCCATTCAGCACTCGAATGATCAAACTGGTTACCTCATCACCACAAAGCTCCCAATGTCGATGGAAAAAATGTGCGGGAAAACCATAAGGCCCCGGGGCTTTGGTGGGAAACATTTGAAACAAAGCATTCTTCACCTCCTCATTGCTATATTCTTTGTTCAAGGCCGCATTCATCGCTCCATCAACCCTTGTAGGTATGTGGGAGAGGACCTCTTCCATCCCAATAGTGCCCTCAGATGCATAAAGGTTCGCATAAAAGCTGCTGGCCATCTGTGCCATCTCTTCCGGATCACTAGTCAGTGAACCATCCTCCTTCTGAAGCTGTGTAATTTTGTTCTTTGCCCTCCTCGCACTTGCTTTTTTCTGAAAAAACTGCGTATTACTATCTCCCTCTGTCAGCCATTGAATCCTAGATCGTTGACGCATCATAATTTCCTCCCTAAAAGACATCTCAATTATTCTGTCCTGCACCTGTTTCTCCTCTTGGCCAGGACCAACCCGGGATGGA